GCAGCCACCGCTGGATCCCCCAGCTCCCCCTGCATCCCCCCTTATCCCCCTGCTGTTCACCAATAAAGCCCGGCAGCCCCAGGGTGCAGCTCTGCCAGCTCTGACGCTTTATTTCAATGCCAGGCAGCCTGGAGCAGCCTCTTTGCCTGGGGTGAAGGCAGCCCTGCCTGCATCACCCTGAGTGCAGGCAGCAGCGGGGGGGCAGAGCTGCCCCCCCCTAGGTGAGGATGTCCACCTCCTCATCCGACTCGGATGAGGGACAGGGCCAGACACAGACAGTGCCAGGGGGCAGGCATGGCTCCACTGTCCCCACATCCACCTCTTCCTCGGGGTCACCTGAGGAGTCCCCTGGTGGCACCGCCTGCCCGAAGCCCTGCTGGGATACGGGGCGCGCCTGGCCCTGCTTACTCCAGGCTGCCCATGGGGGCTGCTGGCAGGGAGAACGCCTGCCAACTCGCCCCAGTGCACCCACATCCAGTTGGGGCTGCGATTCCGTCACCCCCGCATCACCTGCGGCCACAGCACCAGGCGCAGCAGGGGGCTGCTTCTCCCGCACCACCTCCCAGCACCCCCCGCTTTCCACCTTCCGCAGCTTCACTCGCCCCACAGGGCCATGGCTGGGGTGCACGGTCCCTGGAGAGCACAGCTGCCCCCGCGAGGGGATACTGGTGCTCTCATGGGTGGTGCCAGCACTGTCGGGCTCAGCCTTGCTGCCTGCCACCGTGGGGGAGTTGTGCTGGGGGGGGCACAGGCAGGAGCGGTCGAGCTGCCGCTGGTGTCCTGGCCTCACCAGGCGTCCCCCCCGGAGCTGCAACGACTCGAGCTCGGTGACGCGGAGGTGGCGGGCGGCTGCCAGCACCTCCTGCACCTCCTCCTGCGTGGCCTCCAGCTCGGCCGTGTAGAGAAAGCGCACCAGCTTGCGCAGCGCCCCGATCTTCAGCCCCCCCAGCTCCAGCACCACCCTGCGACCCCGGGGGGGCAGCTCCTGGCCCAGCTGCTCCATGAAGAAGGGGCTGCAGACGGAGAGGACGCAACAGTGGGCCACCACCGCCTCGCCTGCAAAGCAACAGCGGCCGTCACCGCCCTGCTGCCTCCCCGATCCTCCATGGGGGGGTTGCAAGGACCCTGCCTGTGGGTTCCTCTCCCCCACCGCCCCGAGGGCCACTGGCACCCCCATGGGCCAGGCCACCCGCTCACCTTCAGCCAGCAGGACCACGTCGCAGAAGACATCCGCTCGCTGCTGCTGCTGGTGGAGGTGCTGGAAGGCCGTGCGGAGCAGGCGGGTGCTGCGGTAGAGCAGCCTCGGGGTGGCTGACGGAGAACCCATGGAGCACCTTGGGGAGGCAAGTGCCACGTCAGGGACATGGGGGAATCGGCACCCCCCTGATTTCAGACCGGGGTGCAGCGGGGGGGCCTGCAAGGGGTGCAGCCGCGTTTTGCATCACCCGCCCAGCCGTGCAACCAGCCTGCACCCCGAGTGCCCGTGCAACAGCCACGCAGGCCTGGGGAGGCCTGGGGCTGCAGTCGGCCACCAGAGGGCGCCAAGCACGGCGACTTTTTGGGGGGAAACCAGGAGGGTTTGGAGCCCCACC